CAAAAATACTGGAATACCTTGCTTTTACAGGTACCAAAGGAGCTGTTGATTGCTGAGAGCTGAGGATGCTGGCCTATGCAAAGATTGGGCAGTGAGGAACGCCAACTTGTGTGCATACTGGCAGGGCGCTGGCACTCTAAAGCTGGCCACAAACTAGCGTACAGGTGCGTCATACATGTTTGTCGTGAACGCTTGCGCGTTCATGTTTGCTAGTGTGTGGGCAAAAATCTGAAAGCATGTATTTCACACAAGTTTTCCGATCTGACCGGAGTTCATGCACGCGCAAACATGCACTTGCATACAAGAGTTTCGGTCTGTGGCCTATGTTCACTCTTCATTTGCACACATTGTTAGTACAGTGGCTCGTAGTCTCATCCGCAGCGTATTTATATTTTTTGAAATTAATTGTTGGTCACATGAATCATGAATATTGTTCCTACAGTTATATTGTTATTTTCTAAATTATACAAATATGTACTTTTTAGTTATTACTAATTTGTGTAACTAAATTTATTTTTTCTCTTTAATTTGCACACGCTTGTAGAAAAATAACAATTAGATTAGTTTTGATAAATATCCAATTTGAATTTTTATTTGTTTCATAATCTTAAAATAAAATGTTTCCCTTGATGTTTCCTATCTTATTTCATGCGCTTGCAGAAAAATTATTGTAAGAAACTTATAGTCCGGAGGCCGAGGACCTTTTTTCGAAATCATTAATAACAAGGTAGTTTTTTCAATGCAGCTTCATTTCACCGAGACGCCCAACTTTTTTCTCTTCGAAAATTGCGAAAACAGGTAGCTAACATACTGCGCAGGTGTAAAACATGTCGATTTGGTGACTATGAAAATTTAATTGATAACAGTTAGTTTTTCAGCTTAATGTTGAGATAATTTCATGAATAATTTGAAACAACATTTGCCCGAAAAAATAAAGGGTTTGGTCTACGATGTCCCCACCCTCAAACATGTAGCAATTACGTTGCATAAAAAATGATTAATAACAAGTTGATTTTTTCAATGTAGGTTGGTAAATATTATTACAATTAAATGGTCACACTGTCCTACAAATAAACAGGTAGCTATTTTCAGTCCTACACTCAAAAGTTGTCGATTTCACGATTTAACTTTTTTCATTAATAACCGGCTAAATCTTCGTGAGTATCTTCATTTTGATAAGACGCCCAAATTTTCTGTTGCGAAAATTCCAAAAACAGGTAGCTAACAGAGTACGCAGGTGGAAAACATGTCTATTTGGTGATCATACAAATGTAAATAATAACAGTTAATTTTGTAGCTGAATGTTGAGATAGTTTCATAAATAATATGAAACAACATTTGTCCGACAAAATAAATGGTTTATTTAGGCTGTCTCCCTTCTCAAACATGTAGCAGATACGTTACATAAAAAATAATTTATAACCAGTTGATTCTTTTAATGTAGCTTAGTAAATATTACTACAATTAAATGGTTACACTGTCCTACAAATAAAGAGGTACATTTCTCCAGTCCTACACTCAAAAGTTGCCGACTTAACGGTAATACTTTATTCATCAATTACCGGCTAAATCTTCTCTAGCATCTTCGTATTGATAATACGCCTAACTTTTCTATTGCGAAAAGTTGCAAAAGTAGTAGCTACTAGAGTGAGCATTACTGAGCACATGTAAAATGCCTTGATTAGGTGATTATGCAAATGTAATTATTAACAGTTAACAGTTAATTTTTCAGGTGAATAATGAGATAATTTTATAAATAGTTCGAAATTCGATTTGAGCCACAAAATAAATGGTTTGGTCTGCAGTGTCCCCTTTCTCAAAATGTAGCAATTACTGGCTCATAAAAAACGATTTATAACCAGTTGATTTTTTTACTGTAGTTTGGTAAATATAACTACAATTGAATGGTCACATTATCCTAAAGAGGTAAGATTTCTCAGCCCTACATTCGAGAATTTCGAAAATAGCCTTATGCATAATATACGTAAATATGTACAGGGCTTTCATTTCAAAACTTACCACCAACGTTATCTGCGTAAAGAGACAGATTTCTGGAAAAAAATATTAAATTCAAGAATTTTACCTTTTGTATTTTGAAAAATATAATTATTAAAATATTGGATTTTTGATATTATTTGAAATGAACATACCTATCTCTTTTATTTTTGAGCTATCGAGAAAATATTATTTGGAAAACTCCTGTATTTTTTTAAGTTCCACGTTATTTAAAAAGAAAAACTCTAACTTAGAAAACACCCTGTATTCACCCATACAGCAAAAAAGCGCGCCAGATTTAATACATTAAAAAAGGAGCTCTATTATTTTTAAATATCTTTAGAATTAAGATGAACCGGTTGGATCAAACCTTCTCCATCTGGGTATGGAAAATGACAAAGGGCATGGCCCCCTCTACTTTGATGGCATGCCAAAACTCTTTTTCGAGCAATTCAAATCTGGCGCGCTTCTTGAATCATCCTATACTACGATACTGTGTTATTTACGAGCATGCGCGTCGATGCGAATGGAAACCATGGACATAAATGTAGGTATGTGTACATACACATAACACATATACTGTTATACACGCATCTGTATACGTACATATGTACATACAGGGGCTTTCATTTCGAAATTTGCCACCCACGTTATCTGCCTAAAGAGACAGATTTCTGGAAATCGCCGGAACACGTCAACAAATTAACGCACCCCCTCAATAAATTTGTTGACATGTTTCGGCGATTTCTAGAAATCTGTCTATTTACGCAGATAACGTGAGTGGCAAGTTTTGAAATGAAAGCCCTGTACATATTTACGTATAATATGCATAAGGCTATTTTCGAAATTCTCGAATGTAGGGATGAGAAATTTTACCTCTTTAGGACAATGTGACCATTCAATTGTAGTTATATTTACCAAACTACAGTAAAAAAATTAACTGGTTATAAAACTAATAAATTTTTTATGAGCCAGTAATTGCTACATTTTTAAGAAAGGGGACACTGCAGACCAAACCATTTATTTTGTGGCTCAAATCGAATTTCGAATTATTTATAAAATTATCTCATTATTCACCTGAAAAATTAACTGTTAACTGTTAATAATTACATTTGCATAATCACCTAATCAAGGTATTTTACATGTGCTCAGTAATGCTCACTCTAGTAGCTACTACTTTTGCAACTTTTCGCAATAGAAAAGTTAGGCGTATTATCAATACGAAGATGCTAGAGAAGATTTAGCCGGTAATTGATGAATAAAGTATTACCGTTAAGTCGACAACTTTTGAGTGTAGGACTGGAGAAATGTACCTCTTTATTTGTAGGACAGTGTAACCATTTAATTGTAGTAATATTTACTAAGCTACATTAAAAGAATCAACTGGTTATAAATTATTTTTTATGTAACGTATCTGCTACATGTTTGAGAAGGGAGACAGCCTAGATAAACCATTTATTTTGTCGGACAAATGTTGTTTCATATTATTTATGAAACTATCTCAACATTCAGCTACAAAATTAACTGTTATTATTTACATTTGTATGATCACCAAATAGACATGTTTTCCACCTGCGCACTCTGTTAGCTACCTGTTTTTGGAATTTTCGCAACAGAAAATTTGGGCGTCTTATCAAAATGAAGATACTCACGAAGATTTAGCCGGTTATTAATGAAAAAAGTTAAATCGTGAAATCGACAACTTTTGAGTGTAGGACTGAAAATAGCTACCTGTTTATTTGTAGGACAGTGTGACCATTTAATTGTAATAATATTTACCAACCTACATTGAAAAAATCAACTTGTTATTGATAATTTTTTATGCAACGTATTTGCTACATGTTTGAGGGGGGGACATCGTAGACCAAACCCTTTATTTTGTCGGACAAATGTTGTTTCAAATTATTCATAAAATTATCTCAAAATTTAGCTGAAAAACTAACTGTTATTAATTAAATTATCATAGTCACCAAATCGACATGTTTTACATCTGCGCAGTAAGTTAGCTACCTGTTTTCGCAATTTTCGAAGAGAAAAAAGTTGGGCGTCTCGGTGAAATGAAGCTGCATTGAAAAAACTAGCTTGTTATTAATGATTTGGAAAAAAGGTCCTCGGCCCCCGGACTATTAGGTAAGAAACATGCACTTTCACGAAGCACTCACCTCGATAATAGAAAACATTGAAATGTACCTGACACGCGCGAAAATTGCCTTTTCTGCACTAATTAGGAAAATAACTATTTCCTACGAGCATGCGGAAAAATCACATTTTCCGCACGCATTGACAAAAAGTAATTTTTCCGCACTAGTGCGGCAAATTTTTTCTGCACCCGGAAAACGGGCTTTTTCCACACGCTTGTTGGAAAACTTTTGTTCCCAACACTTGCGCAAAGTGTATTTTAGCTATATACAATAAAAATAACTATTTTACATACAATTTGAAAATTTCATCGACTGGCAATTAAATATATACATTATTAGGGATTCAGTCACTTTCTTCAGGCAATTATAGAAAACTCTTTTTTGCTAGTTTGGCCAAGCTTACGAAAACGTTTATTTCCTTTTTGATTGTTTATTTTCCATTGTTTCAATAGCCTTGACGGGAAATAAACATTTTCAAAAGCTAGGCCCAACTAGCAAAACAGAGTTTTCTTCAATTCCCTGAAGAAAGTAACTGAATCCCAAAAATCGTAGATATTTTATATAAGTACTTAGGTACTCTATATTTATTTTCCTTCAGTTGTTTTTTTGAAATACAAGGGGTTGTCATGGGTACGGTTGGCACGAAAATAATTTATAATAAATACCTCAAAAAATTAGTTACGCATTTTTTAGAAATAGTTGAATATATATTATTATTCAATTACATTTTCTTTCAAATTCTTTTGCGATTTGTAGCCACTCAATTTCAGTTGACGGAAACTGCAAAAAAAATAACACAATATTGCAATTACAGAAAACTCAAGACACAGAAGAGCTAGCCAACGACGGGACATCACCATCACTATGATGAGTCCACCCACAAGGCCTACGACACATACGACAGCAACTTGTGCTTGTGATCAATGTCGAAGTTCTGCATCTGCATCGACAATTATTAGTAAAAGCTCAACAAAAAAACGGAAAAATAAGAGTGATGAGCAAGCTGATGAAGTACTGGAAATGGTTGAGGAGAGGCTTCGTAATAGCGCTACCGCTAATAAGGACGACGCTTTTGATATTTTTGGAAAACATGTAGCAGCAAAATTACGGTCGTTACCACATCTAACTAAATTATATACAGAAAAGCTGATTACTGATCTATTGTTTCAAGCGGAATTAGGCAATATTGATAGCAATACCAAGATTGCTACAGTAGCCAATGACCCTACAAGAACCTATTACAATAATTATTCGCAACAATTGCAACCAGATGGATACTTCTGCCCACAAAGCACTGGTACTCAACAAGGTTCACAAAGTAGTGGAACGATTGCGACTCTGATAGATAGTAGCATTACAACATACTTTGGAAGTTATCAAGCGACTGGAGATTATAATTAAGATGATTCTTTTGAGTTGATACTGCTATTTTTTTTTATTAATAAAGTGTTTTCTTTTTTTATTACTGAATGTAAAAATGGGTTTCTAGGAAAGTTATTTTAATAAAATAAATATACTGTAACGAGCGTCCGCCAGTGTGGCAAGAATCCAATTAGATTCTAGATTTGTGCAATGTTTTCGAGGAGAGTTATCGCCTGTATTCTAGATTATACATGAATAGATTTAGGGATATATAGAGGCCGGCATAAGTTTGAAAGTTTATGTTTAAGTTTGGCTGTTATACGATTTATGGCCGGTATTGTGGGGCACTGAACCGGTGGTTGAGTTTCAATTGATAGGATTCAACCGACGGTTGAAGCTCGACCGTCGGTTCGGTGTTTTATAATACCGGCCTTCAGTTAGTGATTATTGTTGAGAGTTGTAAAGAGTTTAGTTGTTGAGTTAATTATTAAAGTAATTAGAGTCAAAGTGTATAGTAACGAGGAATACATTATTGCTGTGTTAATTGGACTTTGATTTTGGAATAAACGGACCCAAGATTTCTGTCACGCTACCGATAGCCGTGACAATGCATATTTTCCTTACCTTCTTATAATCGGTCTTTAACACTTCAAATATAGCTCTGCAGGTCTCTGGACTTATTTTCCCCAACGACTGAGGAGAAATCAGCGTTGAAAACTTTAAGTCTTCATAATTCCTTCCAGAAGCTAAATAGCGAAGTATGGCTTTTAGACGCTCGTGTGGTGATATGGCAGCCCCTAAAATTGTGTTCTGTTTCTCTATTATTTGAGACACTAAAGGTAATAGCATTACGTAGCTATCTTCATCTATCCTCAGGTAATTTCGCCAATCGTCTGGTTCCAATCGTAATTCTTCTAGAAGACTCAAATGTGTATATTTTGAGCGTTTTAAAAGCCAATCTTTGACCATTTTGTTCTAATTTTGGGCTTTTGAACTTTTTTTTTCTTAATTAAAACAACGTACGTCGCTGCCAGTAAATTAAATTCGTCGTCACTGTTCATCGTGTACTTCCATACTACTTGTGTTACAAGCTAGTGTGTAGATCTGTGGGTGAAGAGCGCTCGTCATACATGGATGATACACATGTATGAAAAACATGTATAACGCACTTGTATGCTAGTCTGTGGTCAGCTAAACGGTTCTAGACCAATTAAAGTACATATGACACATTTTGTAGGTGTATCTGTTCTGTATTTTGTTGGCTTCAATCCCTAATGTATCTTCGATGATGTTGTAGCTTGTAGGGGCAACCGTGCCCTGTCGCACATATTGGAAAACTATATAGAAGTTATATATTTCTGGCCATGTTACAACATCATCAACAACCGTACCAGGTGCCTGGTGGAGGATTGAAGTCATTCCTTTAGTCCGCCTGTGACCTGAAGATTTTCGTGTTTGGATACAACGATTATGCCATCTTCAGTGGATGATCTTTGTGAAGTTCTTCAGATAATTTGGTCTTGATAACTTCCACTTCATGTTCTTTAACATATGGATTTCGCCCATCCCCAACTCTGGTTAACAATGATTCTTTCAGGAATCACCTTGTTAATTTGTTGACATTTTTTGCATGCCAACAGCATAAAACTAGCGATGTTTGAGCTTGGTGTTTTGTTAGGGTTCTTCAGAAATAAAACTATTTGTAAAACTCAAGAGGTTTATCGACTCTCGCGAACGACAACCTTCTATATATATAGAATAGCTAACAGTAGAGGCTAACAGAACATTTCCCCCTATAAGCTAAACACTTTTTTACTAGGGCTTCGCGAGACCACAATACTAGTCTTGGTCTTGTATTGGTTATGGTAGCAAGACCAAGACCAAGACCTAATAAATCTTCCCAACATCAAGACCAAGATTTGACGTTCAAGGCTAAGACCAAGACTCCCTCGAGAGAATCTCGTCTTGGTCTTGGTCCTGGTCTTGGAAAGAAAAATCTACTCAATATTTATAAAAATATGCAAATTCCTATATCTAGAGACTTTCAATGTCTTAATTAAATCAATTCATCAAATTTATTATTTTTTCAAATTCGCGAGAAGGTATTATAGTGAGGTCAAGTGGGGTAAGTGGGACCTAAAAATTTAAAAGTTCGACTTTGAAATTTTATACACATGTTCTAAATGAGCGAGAATCTTGAAAATGTATAGGCGCATACTTGGCTATATGTTAATTTTATTGCAGGATTCACTAAGTCGTGAATATTTTCTTGCCCAAAAAAAAAAAAAAAAAAAATTGTTAATAGGTCCCAGTTACCCCGGGGCCTGGGGGAAGGAAGAACCATGGAATGGCATGAAATCAAACTTAACTATGCACTATAGATGATAGGGTAAGTGAGAACAATTTGATTCATATGAGTTTTCAAATGCAATTTTTACCTCGCTCTATCTAACGTGGTTTTGGAGAAAAATAATTTTTCCTACTTCCATTTTCAAACAGTAGTAACACACATACAGTATTGACTTTTTAGGGAAATCTTGAGGGCGAAACAAAAACAGCAAGTAACTATTTCTCTAAAATCTTTATTGAATATTATATGAATCAAATTTAATGTTGAATGTAACAGCTGCGCGCCTGCCAAGATTTGGTTCTGGTAACACGATGATGATATCGTCTTGCGAGACTTCGCATTCGTCCTCTTTTTCAGGTTGAATGAAGCTTAGGGATTTCTCTTCTTCTCTTTTTCTGAGAAATTTAATTTGAAGTTCGTTTCTGTCTATTCCTAAAATCTGTCCCACATCTGTCCCACATAATGTTTCTTAGTCCTCAAAACCCAGTCTCAGTTTCTCAACCTGATCCAGTTCTATCTCATTAAGTTCTTTCTTTTCTGTAATCGAGTCCGTAACCATATCTTCCCCACACACGTAGTCACTTTCTGAATCGTGAAAGACAAATCTCCATCGCTGTCGTCGCTCGAATAATCCATTTTCTTTGAAGAGGTTTATTTCCTTTTTTTTATTCTTTTTGTTTTAGTTCTTCTAGTCTTCCAATTTTTTCCGGTAAAGTCAACAATTCGGCTCATTTTGAAACTCTTGTCCTTGTTAATTTTTCTGTTGTAATTTTAGGTTTCACTCTTTTCAATAAAATTTGTTCCAAATTGGTATTACAAATAGGTACCACTTGCAATACAGTTCTCATCTTCATTTGTTGCTTTATTATCTACATTTGTTGATGCAGTTTCATGAGGATGGATGGTCTTTGATAACATTTCCTTCTAGTCTTTTCCCTAAATGAAGCTGCCAGGGTTTATAGGCCTCATCCGGATCATATTGTTCGGGTTTATTCACTTCCCTGTCAAATGGAATGATTCCGCCCTTCCGAAATCCATTTACTATATTTTTTTTTTGTGGTGCATTGTTCCATATTGTACTAACAAAAATGGAAAAATCTTGTTTGGTAAGCCTTCGGCCAATATGTTTACGCTGCCACGATACTAGCTTGGCCTCCCAATCATTTTTTATAGATGTTAACACACTTAAGTCTAACGGTTGCAACAAGTGGCTCGTGTGTCGTGGGAGTTTAAGAATTATGATTTGGTTTTCTAAAGCAAACCTTAAACAGCGGGTTTCGATATGAGTAGCGTGGCCGTCATATATTTGTAGAACTGATCGGGCTTCTCCAATGTGTTTCACAAAACTGTTCTTTAGGTAGTTATGGAACATATCCAATTCCATCTACCCTTTTTGGGAGGTGGCGTAAACCAAACCTGGAAAAAACTGATCCTCCGGAGCTACCCATGCATCCCATAGATATTTGCCCTTATCATTGGGGGATGCTTCAGACCACTAGCACTTGCTGCTATTAATACCGTTATATTTTCCTTGCCAGGACCGCTTGTGGTTCGAGTTGCTGGTGCATTATTGATGGCTCCCAAAACTTTCAACTTAGAGGGATCCAGGAAAAAAAAGGTTTCATCCAAGTTAAATACTTGTTCTGGTTTGTCATGCAAATTATTTTCTGATAGAACTGATCAGCGATGTTCGTTGATTAAAAATGGATCTGATGCATTTTTCCGAGCAATTTCTACAGCCTGTGTTTTTTTCAAGGATAGTCTGTGACGTCGTTTAAATTGAATAAACCAATCCTCACCTGGGCAGCCATCTGTGAATGGAGTTATTATGTTGTTCGTGTTCACAAACTCGCTACCTTGCGTGTGAGGCCAAAACCCATTTGTCCATTGTTTTTATATTGTTGGCCAATTCAATTTCCTGGTATAACGTTATTTCTCTTGCTTTAACTCGTCGAATAGCTTCCTCCAAACTTTCTTTTGAATATCCTTGCGATCAGTTAGATTTTCTGATGTGATTTCGCACCATCTTTGAAAAAACTTATGTTTTACTGACTTTAAAAGTTTTATTACTTACCTACTTTAACTTTTACTTAGTTGATCACTTCACTTCACTGACACTAATGTTCAAACCCTCAGACTATATAAGTATATAATTATTAATTAGGTACACAAACCCCCAAACTAACCCAAATCTAATTCTTGTGAATAGACAAATAAAATTCAAATGAGCTATGTGACTATGTGAGGGTTCTCGAAAACCTTTGTCTGGCCTGAATGCTCAGGTAGGTAAGGTAGGTTTATTCTTATGGTTCAAATAGAAATTGATTTTTTTCCTCGGTACAGAATGGCAATTTTATGGTGTGTTTCAACTTTCCTGTTCCGTAATGAAAATTATAATTTAAAAATTGATGTTTGTTTATTCCTCTATGTTGTGTAATGCTTCATGCGGTATTTTTTGACATAAAACGTTCTTGCTGGTAAAAATAACCTATGAAGAAGACGAAATGCATGGTCGCAACGTCGGCATAATTTTTTCAGAAAGGGAGTTTTATTTTTTACTTCTAAAGTCCTGAACCCAATATCCCTGCTCTGTCGTTGTATGTTATGTATATTTTAAAAATTGAGAATAATTTTCTGTCAAGACTATCAAGACCAAGAGTGAGCCAGTCTTGTCTTGTTCTTGAAACATCAAGACCAAGGCCAAGACTGGCCAGTCTTAGCCTTGGTCTTGGTCTTGCGAACCCCTTCTTTTTACAAAACATTATAATCTTTCAAGTGAGCGGGTTTCTTAATATCTCAATTTGGTCTTTTTGGTAGAACAAGACACG